TGCTTATTTTTACAGACAAGGGGAATGAGGCATGAGCAATGCTTACGTAGAATATTGAAATCACATAATTTTCTATTTTTGTTAAATGCAAACAAAACGAAGAAAGTAAATAAATAAACTGATTCAAAAATTAAACTGTTAACTGAACCATTGTCACACGATAAATAAAATAAAATAATAAATAAAAAAAATCGTTTTTTAGATGCTTACAAATAAAAATAAACTAATTAAGTTTCAACAGGACTTGATTATAACCTTAACATATGAGTAAAAGATAAAAAGCGTTTCGATTATGTTATAAGAAAATAGATGAAAGTAAGTTCTTAAATCTTATTGATTCATGCAATTTTTCGAATTACGTTCAGTATTTTTTTATGAATTTATTTTTGAAACAAAATACTATTTTCTTACTCATGAAGTAGCTTACAAATCATTCGACGATCGCCTCGCTGATAGTTTTACCATAAATTTATTGTCCAAAATAATAGGAAATTCAAATGAAAAAAATTGATAAAATGTTAAATCGAAGGGTATAAATAATAATGCTGAAGTAATAGAATTTGATATTGGCTACTCAACACTGTTTTTTCACCTCTAATATTTTTTGCATTTCAAGATCTTTTAAATCTTTTTTTTTCCTTCAAATTTTTTTAAAGTGTTTCGCAATTTGTCAATTCTTAAAATATTGCATTTTTGTTTTAATTGTATGGTGGAAATTAACCATTTCTGTTTTATTTTAACCCACATTAAAATACCACTCATATAAGCAAGCTAATATTATGTTAACCAAAATGTTCCGACCATAAAAACCTGTCCATATGCATAGCAGTTAGTTGAATCAGCATAATTCGATCATGTAATTCGCAAATAATAATAGTGTAAAGAGCTTAATTATCATTAAAAAATTATCGAAAATATTTTTAAAACTACGCATTGAGAATTGTCACTAAAATTATAAAATCAAAAGCATCACTATAATTAAAATTATATATTTACAAACAAGGGCATTGTTTAAATTATGAAATCAAGAAAAAGAAGATTATTACCGATCAAGTTATGTATTTAAGAACATTTTTATTCAAACTATGTGATAAAAAACATTATTAAGAGTAGATCTGTAAAATTTATATACTAATAAGGAGCATTGTAGTGAAGAAAAAATATAAATCAAGATCTAAATCATAGTCATATTAATCAAATGTAAATCAAGAAGATTTATATTATTGAGTTGCAATTCAGAATGATAGCGTTAGACTGTTAATCCTAACTGTGTTCATAACAATGGTAATACAGATTTGTATACGTGATATAGTTAATGTTAAGTGAAGAACTGTTTAATTATGCAAATAATAAAGATTATCTTCTAAATGGAAAGAAGTTTTAACCTGTATTACTGGAAAGTTATTAATGCATGAAAAACATGAAACCATTTTTGAAATCATCAACGAGTAGAACAATTACTAAAGAATCTTACGCCTGTTCCATTAGGCAATCAATCCCGATTAATGTTTATTCATCATCCCTTCGAGCATTAAAAAAACCCCTTTTTATTTATGCACTGCTATCTCTTAATTATTTGCTTAGTAGGTTAGAATAATTTATGATACACCTTTAAGGGGAAATCAAAAAATTTTACTCTTGAAACATTTGATCGCCTGTCAGATGAGTTTGTCTTCGATCATAAGATATAAAGGTTCTCGATTTTTTTTCCGGCTAAATGATTCTTAAAAAATTATCGTAATTTTTTTTTAATTTATTTTTTTATTTGGCTGAACCTTTACTTGATAAATGAAGTTCGTCCGCTATTGAGAACTTAGTAATTAAGGAAAGAATAATAATTATTTTTAAAATATTTAATATGAATTATATATCCTCAGTGGTTGACGGATCATGGGTTGGAATCCCCTTCCCATCAGACTAACCGTGGGTAGTTTTCGTGGTTCCCATCACCATGTAACGCAAATGCGGGTTAGTTTATCTTACCTATACTTGATCTAGGAGTTTCGTTGTCTTCTAGATTGGGTTCAAAATTACATAGATGCGGAGTTGGATATTAGTAGCCGTGAAACACAAAATTGGGTCTGCTGTTATAAGAAAATTAGTACTATTTGTCAAAATTAAGCATCATTGGCGTCTATAATTGTTTAAATTTTTTACGTTTCTCTTAGTCGAATTAGTACTATTTCATCTCTAATTTTTCTTTTTAGTACGGCTCAAAATTGAGTCAACAAATGGATTTTTTCTGCTTTTTATCTGCTTTTTTTCTGCTTTTTATATTGTTAAAATTAGGTTTTATGTCAAACTGTTGAATTCACTGATTTAAAACGGCATTTAATTTAATTCTAAACATGTAAATTATTTATGTATTTACTTGTTTAATTATTTTGTAACTGGGTAAGCTGAAAATTTATAAAATGCGCCATCTTATGGATTTCGCTATATTGAAAACGAAAAAGTGTTGTTATAAACGTTGAGACTGGTTATCGGATAAATATTTTCCCTAGCTTTTGAAATTGAATATTTTATTTTCAATTAAAGCCCTTGTAGCGAAATCCCATGATTCCATGATGGTTTAAAGGGGATTCTTCTTGATTCTCAGGAATATAAAATTAAAACAATTTTTTTTAAAGTTGGCCCATCATAAATCAGTCCGAATTCATACATTGGGATGTTGGTTGTTCATCACCGTTCCAACATTTGATTTCTAAGATACTATGATGGAAATTTCTGATGGTTTAACATTAATAAACCATCAAAACAAGTTATTATGCTTTACCATCATAAATCAGTCCGANCATACAGTGAAACCTCTAAGTAGCGACCAATTCTATGTAGCAACCACCTCTATTTGCGAACACTTTTGGCAGGGACGGAATTTTTTTTCCATAGATTTAGTGTTGAAGAAACCCTTTATGAGAGATCGTTAAAACCTCTCCCAACGTCCAGTTGCACCAAATGCGGAAAAAATCAAATAAGGAAACACGGAAAATTAACAAAACAAAAAATGTAAAACAAATAAGTAGATTATGCTTTACCATCATAAATCAGTTCGAATTCATAGGTTGGGATGATGGTTCTATGGTGTTATGTTGGTTACGATCGAAAATATAATGGTTCATGATTGAATTATTGAAGATTACTATCAAGATTATGTTGGTCCATCGATGGAAAACCATCAAATTTTTACTTGTGTAGCAATAATCTTTTTTTTCCCTTCTAAATAATTTATTGAAACAGTTCATCAATGACATCTCTCGTTTATATGCGCAACCTTCCACTTCAGAAACAATCCTTCGGAAGGCTAACCTTCAGATTTCTGTCATTTATCTTCAGTTGAAACAAGGAACTATCTTCAAAACACTATAGAATCTTTTAATCTCCACGTGATCCTTTAAGACGAGGAATTTATTTTATTAAAGCAACATCTGGGGTTTGGAAGGCTATTAAAATGTAATGAAAAAAATACTATTAATTATTTCATTTCATTTTTGCTTTAAAAGTTAAATGAATAGGCAGGTCCTTGTCATTAGTTCTGTTGTTGTTTATTCGAACAATTTTATTGTTATATTTTATTTTAGATAACAATAGAATTTTAACTGGAGGATTTAATTTTGAAACAACAGATTTTGTATTTACACTCGAATTAAAGATGGCTATGTTTAAAATAATTTTGGGATATTTACAAACTATCACCTGTTACCCCGGTCGCAGAATTTAGGACTGAGTCTGCAGCACTATCTTCAATTATCAAAACTTGTCTCGATTTCAACGAAGCTAGATAGTTATTGTATGAATTCTGCTTAATCTAACATACATATAGTAAAATTTGTAAATATAAGGTCCTTTAAAAATATACATAAAAGAATTTAAGTGGCTTAAATTTAATTTGAATTTTATACAGCGAAACTTAAAAAATAGAATAAATCCCTGGTCGGTAGGCCAATTAAGTAACAAAAAATTTATGTTTTTTTTTTAATTCAGTTTTTTAATTTTTATTAGAAACAAGTCTAGAGATGTTTTAAAAACGAAGTCTTAACAATTATCACTCTTTTGTTTGCTTTTTAAAAATAAAAATAAAAACTAGTCTGCAGAAATATTATAAGTAATAAAAAATAATTTGCGACATAATTATATCAAAAATAAACTGTAGATGCTGAAATAATCTGCAGGGTCCGATGGCCGATTTCTTCAACCGGACATGCTACCTTCTTCAACGAAACTCTTTAATTATAAGCCTTTTTTTTCACTGGTCATTTCATTAATGAGTGTTTGATAAAAGCAACGGGAATAACTCTCAATTGAAAGCATATAAATTGACATTCTGTAGTTTAACTTCTATTAACAAGAATCTTCCACTGGTCTAAATGTCAAATGTGCATATTTCTGCAATATGTACAAATGTACATATTTTTGCAAATGTAAATGTGCAATACACAATACATAATTCAAAAGTATGTACCACGTCAAAAGTACGTATTTTTGCAAATGTAAATGACGTTTACACACCGAGGAAGATTCTGGATATTTAGAACTCAAACTATAGTATGTCAGCTGTGTCTGCAGTGGACTGATCGTCAAGACACGTTCCCAACTGAACACCGAAGTCAAGTACCACAGGCTGCGGTCAGCTTGCTGGTGGGTGATCACTTTGAGCAGCCTGCTTAAAGACCGAGGGTGCGCGGTATCGGTCCTAGTTTAACTTTTCTACCGTGAAGTGCTTGACTTCGTTCGCAGGTCGTCGGGCTACCGAAGTAGGAGAGCCATCCTCTCTACTCTGGATCAAAATTGTGATGGCATGTCTTCGGATCATCCTCAGGGTTGTTTCCCAAACCGTCGCCATTAGTACATTATGCTGCTGTACTGCTATGCAAACCAACAACAATCTATGCATTATATTATTCGCGTTACTATTTTGTTTCAGGCTTCATAGCATAAAGTTTTACCCTTTGTTTGATAGTTTGTGAAATTTATCTCCAGATTCTAAATAATTTTTTTTTCAGATGTGGCAAGATATAGAAAGTGTGCTACTGGGTGAATCCGCTTCTTCTGAGTCAAGAACTCAAATGTACTCTTATACTGCAGAACCTTGTACACAACAAAGTCCCAAGCTCAATCAGTCACAAGATAATGCTACTAGCTCACCCAATAACTTTTATTCGTACTCACATCCTCATTCGTACCATTTGCAACAAGTAGCACATCAGCAGCAGCAACAGCAACACTACTTAAACCCCACGGTAGTTGGGGCAAAATATCCCACCAATAACGGCTATACTTATGGACCTTACAGAAATTCCTACAAGCGTGAAAACACAAAATCGAACGCTTGGGACATGATGGGGAAGTTGAACGCTAACGACTGTTCAAATATGAGTTACAACTCCAATTTCCCAATGAATGGTGGATTTCCAACCAATAATAAACACGATCCAATGATGAACTCTGTGTACAACGGCCATCCCAATTCATACAACGCAACGTTAGCGTCCATACAATCTCATATGTCACCACCAGCGTCCCCAGAGACATCCACAAATCCCCAAAAAACCACTAGCCTCGATGGCTATTCTGCTACTAGTTCGACGAACAGTCGTCCTTCTATGATGTCTGGTTATGGCTATGGTATGGCCAACAACGTCATGACCACGCAATCCCATTTTCGAATGATGACACCACCTTCCTCACCGCACCTCGCCGATTTACTGGCAGCAGGGAATGCCTACGGTCTTAACAGGCCGCAAACCAACCATCCACCTTCGCAATTGCTTCCTCCTGGTCTGGGTGCCATTCCACCAGCAACGAAGCACAGGAGGGGACGTAGAAGCACCGGAAGGAAGAAAATCACAGTCCACACGTGTTCTCATCCTGGTTGTTCGAAAACGTACACCAAAAGCTCTCACCTGAAAGCTCATTTGAGGACTCACACCGGCGAGAAGCCATATCAGTGTAACTGGAAAGGATGTGGATGGAAATTCGCACGATCGGACGAGTTAACTCGGCATTACCGGAAACATACCGGAGATAGACCTTTTCAGTGCAGACTTTGTGAGAGGGCATTCTCGAGATCGGATCACCTTTCGTTGCACATGAAAAGGCATGCGACGGTGTAACATATCGACTTATTGCATAAACAATCGAGATAGAACTTACCTCATTTTATGTGATAAATACAATTTTAATTGATTTTATTATACAATAACGAGCTTTTTTTTGCTACAAAGTGGAACTGGATGAACTTGTTAGTGAAGTTTTTTTTTTATCCATTTTGAAAACTTGTACAAAATGTCCTCAACAGTTCTAAGCTTTGTTTTTGGAATCGGTCCTTCGATTGAGCTTATATTTTTTTCGTACTCTGAATCAAAACATAATTCATCCGCCATTTTTAGAATTATGAGCAAGAAATCAAAATATGAGCCTTCAAGCTTCTACTGATTCTGGTTTAGTCACCAGGTATTTAGCCTTAGAAGAAAATTGGAAGTCGTTAGATCAAAGGTAAATTTTTTTTAAATATTTTAACCTTAAAATATAAGACAAACTTGTGCTTTTTAGATATTGAACATACAGTGAAACCTCTAAGTAGCGACCAATTCTATGTAGCAACCACCTCTATTTGCGAACACTTTTGGCAGGGACGGAATTTTTTTTCCATAGATTTAGTGTTGAAGAAACCCTTTATGAGAGATCGTTAAAACCTCTCCCAACGTCCAGTTGCACCAAATGCGGAAAAAATCAAATAAGGAAACACGGAAAATTAACAAAACAAAAAATGTAAAACAAATAAGTAGATTAAAATGTATTCAAAATATTTGCGTGAGACTGCTATTTAGAGAGAGCTCTTCTTGACGATACAACCTCATGTTGCAGTCAGAGTACACTAAGACGATGCTATCAATGATTTACTTTTAGAGTAGAAAGTTAAATTAGAACAAAAAGATTTATTTTAAATGAAACAAGCATCTTAAACAAACCTCTTGTCAACTTTTAAAACTAACTAATTTTAAATGCAAACTTGAAGAAAAAAAACATAATTATTTATTTAAAATAGCGTTATCATTCATAATTGGTAAATTTGCTTTTACAAGTTGGCATCATTTCTATGTTTCATGTTTATAACAGTTGGCATCATTTCTATGGAAACTAAATTTTATCCATAGATCCGTGTTTTCACCGTGTTCTTCGCCAAGAAAATGACACTGTCTAAAATTAAGATCGTTGGTGGAAAATCATGTACCATTAAATAACAGTTTTGAAATGAATGAAGGTAACCTCTAAGAACAACCAACCTCAATCAGCGACCATTTTACTGCGGAACGAAGAGTGGTCGCTCCCGAGCGGTTTCACTGTATTATTTTAATTCCATAAAGAATGATCTATATAAGAGTATTATGTATAGAAAAGAATAAAAACTTATAAAGTTTAGGAAAAAAATAGGCCCCTTCTATGGGGATGAGGAAGTTAATTTCTTTTGGTAAACGTGGGCTTTCAAAAGATACTAAAACTGCAGGAATAACATTTCATGGCAAATTCTGTTTCACCTACATAAGTAATTTAAAATTTAAAATACAGAAAAAAGTTTGTTTAGGTAAGCGAAGAGTTAACGATGAATTGCAAATGCTGATAAAAAATCAAAATATCAAAAGGCAAACAATTTAATGCAGGATTAAGCGATAGGAAAGTAATCCTGTTATAATTTGTTCGCATTTTGATATTTTGAAAAACAACTTTCAGCTCTTGAAAATTCACGGTTTACTTTAGGTTTACCATACTTTAAGTTTTTTTTTTTCAAACCTAAGGTCTGTTTTTCTAAAGCTCCATTGTCATATGAAATAATACTTTATTACGAATAACGTGCTATTTTCATAACTGCTGAGAGTTTGCAACCGTTACTCATGAATGTTAAGTCATGTTTATCCAAAGTCTGCGCTGCCTATGCTTATTCTGTAAATGGCGCAATATGGAGAAAAGCCACAGTTTTATGAAAATAAAAAGCGTTTGAGGTCTAATTTTTTAGTACTTGCAGCTTACTCCAAGGTTGCATTATCTCGGCTCATAAAAATTTGTAAAAACTGAGAATGAAACAGTGATTTTGATAATTTTCCTCCAGGTGAATAAAATGTCGCCAAGTTGGCGATTTTTTTTTTTTTTTTTTAAAGTTTAGTAACGTTTAAAATATTTAAATTAATTGTCCGTTCTGAAGCTCTGATAAAATTCTTCACAGAAAGATGTAATATTAGTTAAAAATTCTTCACTTCATGAAGTATAATACTTCAAGTGTAAGGCGCATAAACTGTGACTTTTTTATTTTCTTTGGAGACAGAGCTTCTAAAAACCTTGCTAAATTTTAAATTACTAATGGGAGGAAACGGAATTCACCATGAAGCTTTTGTCCCTTGGTATAGCGGCTTCTTGAAGTTCAAACAAAAAAATATATATAAACCTTACCTTTATTTCTAATGCTTCCGTTTTATGTTTTTAATTAATTTCCAAATTTAATAAAAGCATTTTCTTTCAGAATTTAATTAATACATTGTTTTATTAATTTAGTTTTCTGAATGTTATTTAATATTTTCTCGGATTTTAATTTTTTCTCATTAGTACTTATTACTAAGATTTACTTGTTAAAAATGTAATGTTAAATAATGGCGAGGTTATGATTATATAGCATGCTATAGTTAGTTTTATTGGCGTAATATTTATATTATACTTATTAGGAAATAATTCAATATTTTGTAAGAATTTTTGAAATTGCCTTAAAAAATGTTTCAAAAATGTACGAAAGGTGTAAGAAAAAACTCATAAAAATTAATAATTAATTGATAAAAAATCTATAACATACAGGATTTTATTTTTCTGAAAAAAAAATGGGTTATTGACAATTTTAAAAAAAAGCGATAATTATTAAAAAAAAAGTCATGAAAAGGTAGAGGCAATACTTTAAACTTTTCACCAATAAAGCTTCACATATTACACTCTGACGTATGACAGTAACAAAACTTTTAATTCTCTTTGTTTTATGTGTTATTGTTGTTGACTTAATTTTCACTCAACATTTATAAGAAAGTATAGCTTGTGTTTATTCGGGCAAAAATTTAGTAATAAGAATTTTATAGCCTGTTTTCGAAATTTCTTTTAATTTCCATAAAGCAATTTTTGAAATGGATGAGTTAAAAAAAATCATCGTAATTGAGTTGTTCTTGTGTGGTCAGAACAAACAATTGACCGTATCGTTACTATTTTGTTCGGACATTATTAAAAATATTTGATTGGCAGCTGAGTAACCAACGATAGCACTTCTGTGTTGTTTTTGTTCATTTATTTCTTGATTAATCGTTATGAATGATGGGAAAAAAGTAAACTATGTTCCTGTTCCCACAATCTTTCAAGTAATCGTTGGCCTATCCCATTATTGAAATGTTCTTTGATTGTTTCGAGTTAAAAATCACTTCCATTTTAATCATTTTATAAATATTTGTTCTTGGAAGGGGTTATAAATGAATCTGAATTAACTGCCCATATACTATCTAAGTAGTAAAGTAAACTCATCAAGCAAAAATTAATTATATTTAATATGAGGTCGTAAGCAGATTTTTAGCAAATTTGGACTCGCTTGCCAGCAATAATATGTAAATCAGAAACCGATTTCCATGCTTAAGAAAGGTTGTCTCAGCAACACCCTCCTTTAAATTTTTTTTTTTTCTGCTTTAACTTTCACTTTTATAGAGGTCTGGCTATGGTAGTTGGAATTTCCCTGTTGCAGTTTAGTTCTGGGAGAAATCTTCTCAGGTGGTTGGGAGGTTAAATTTTCGTATGACTACTGCATCTGCATCAGATAGTAAGGGTTAAGTTATTTTATATCCGTCGTTGAACAGCCGACACAATTTTGGGTTTACGACTACTAATGTTCAACTCCGTAGCCTTGTAACTTTGAACCCAATCCGGAAGACAAGAAAACTCCTGGATCAGTACCCCCAGAGGTATGATTTGTTATGGGAACATGGAGGACTTTGCGACTCGACAGATTTAACGCGCATCAATCACCATTTACTACACGGGAAGTCCTCGGCCGACGGGGATCGAACCCACGCCCTTTTGGACATAGGCCCTACCAACCAGGCTATCCCGGGGCATGGTTAAGTTATTGGAGAGTTTCGAGCTTCTATGGCTAGGTTATTAGCCTGCCATAGAAGAAGATGTTTACGTGACCGGTATCCATCGCAAAGTGCTGCAACTATTCTATTTACAAGAGCAATTATCACTGTGGTCAGCTAGGAATTGCCCCTCAGGATTGCCTGGAGTGCAGGTTTGTAAATACCACAGGAACTCTCTGTTGCCCTTCTGTGGTAGATATCCAAAGCCCTGGCTATATCCAAAGATACTGGCTATAAGCTAGAACGTATATTTTGAGGAAATTTTTCCTGTAGGAATACCATACAAAACATGAGGCGTCGACTGCCTCGGAAGCGGTNATGTTCTTTGACTGTTTCGAGTTAAAAATCACTTCCATTTTAATCATTTTATAAATATTTGTTCTTGGAAGGGGTTATAAATGAATCTGAATTAACTGCTCATATACTATCTAAGTAGTAAAGTAAACTCATCAAGGAAAAATTAATTATATTTAATATGGGGTCGTAGGCAAATTTTTAGCAAATTTGGACTCGCTTGTCAGCAATAATAAGTAAATCAGAAACCGATTTCCATGCTTAAGAAAGGTAGTCTCAACAACACCCTCCTCTATTTTTTTTCTGCTTTAACTTTGACTTTTACAGAGGTAATTTAATTCTAAGATTTAATTTTAAGATTAAATTAAATTTGTTTCAATTCATTGCATTAAATTTTGCTAATTTTTTTTTACAGTATACAAATTTTTTAAAGTTAATTGCAAATCCAGGAAGTTAATTGAAATTGCTTTTTAATTTATTACAATAGTAATTTAATTTTAAGATTAAGTATTAAATCGATGTTTGTATCCTTTTTATTAAATTTTGAGCAATATATTTTTTTGTGTTTTCCTTCTGTGATTAAAACTCTTCACCTCTGAAACTCCAAGTTGAAATTTTTTTCCCAAGCTATTTCCCCCTCCCCCCAAACTTTGAATTTAAAAAATGATGTGGTTTCGAAAATTGAAAATAAAATATGTTACGTAAACACTTGTCATACTTCTTCCTACCCCCCCCCCACTCTTGTAAATAAAATTAATCAAATCACAAACACGCCCCAGCCCCTCTTTTAGGCGCTTACGACATTTAAACAGTCCCTATCATTCGCCAACGATGATCACGTGCCCCGCATTGTAGTTTCAAAAAACCTAAGTGTATAAATTAATCTTTTAAATTAAATTAATATTAAATTCAACTTCTAATAGGATTTATAGACGTAAGTTTCCGAAACGTAACTATATAAACAAAATAAATACGTGGTTTAATAGTTTTCTAACTAATAATTCCGTGATGTAACCTCACTTAGATTTTGTCTATGCTTGCTTACCTGAC